CCCCCCCCCCCGGCCCTATCGTACACGACTCGTGCCTGATTTTGTCTTCCAAGTGTAGGAACGGTTGATGCTCCCACGTTGTTCGGATATTGCGGTGCACGCCGAGTCGTTGGAAAATATCGTTTTGGTAGGCTTGTTTTGCGTTCCGTGCATCACTCACTGAACTAATCCTTACGGGTTCTGAAAATATGGTAGGTACAAAAGACACGTTCGAGTGTGTTCATGATCTTTTGGTGACTCTACCGAAACCTGAATCATCGTTGCTGATTGTCTCGCACCCCTTTCTCGATCTGTCGGGCCTGCGTGTTGACATGCGTCAGGTGCCCAACGCCGTGAACATCCTCGAAAACCATGACCCTTCGGATGAGATGAAGAGGGTGGAGGTGAACATTCAGCTCCCCGACGGACCCCCGCCGGTGCAGACCCCCGTCGGCTTCCAGGTCAGCACTAGAAACTGCTTCCTCACCTTCCGGTACCGCGTTTGTCTTGAGACAACCAGCACATTTACCAGCAAATACATCGTGTGTTTTGTCGCCACGCCACGCTTGTGAGCCTAGACTGAATCCCGCATGCCGACCGTGAGATGCTAAGGTCGGTTCGGTGCGTCAGAAGGAACGCGGTGGGTTTTTGTTGAGATCGGCACTTTACTCCTCTCGCACCGTTTTTGGTGGTGTAAATTGGATGGCATTTCTGGCGAAGGGCCTGATTTACATGTGAAATGTGTGGCCGACAGGCGACAAGTGGCACGCGTTTTGAGTTACACATTTGGGCGTGACGAACCACGTGTGGTCCTGTGAAAGCCCTTTTCCCGACCTTGAGACACAACGCTATGGAGAGACAGCAGGCAGCGCACCTCCAAATAAAAACACCCCCTTTATGATGTTTGTGATGTTTTGGTTGTGCTCCGCAGCAACCCCCGCCATTCGGCCAGCAGCCTCCCCCGTACGGGTTTGGCGCCCCCCCCCATTTCGGAGGCCAGCCCCCCCGCCAGGGCCCCAACATGGTACGAAAAATTTATCTGCAGCATGCCTGCTTGGTATCCCGCCCTTGCCCTTCACTAGAAATCGAGGTTTCCGGGCGGTGTTCTACAAACCCTTTCCTTGCCGAAGAAGTTATCGGGAATCGGACTTTGGCTTTGGGGAGGGGCGGATGGATGCGAGTGGCTTTTCTTTGATTTTATATTTTTGATATATGATGGCGTGACCATGGCGTGGCGTAGTCCGCTAGTACACTTTGGGAAGGTGGGGGTAGACAAGTTTTGTGCTTTCGTTGCTGGTGCTGAGATGGTTGCTAGAGAGATTGTCGGCCGTTGGCTGTGTCACGTCAACATGGGCGCATGCCTTGCACGCCCCCCCCCTTCCCCACCTTCTCCGATAGCATGTAAAACCCACGGGCGCTTGTCGACCGCGGGTCGTTGTACCTCTTGTCTCGTTTTAATCTCAATTGCTATCCTCCTCCTCGCCATTTCGCCTTCGCTTTTGTGGTGGGCTGGGTTTCTTTTTCCTGGTTGGCTTTTTTCTCTTTTCCGTGAACGAACGACGACGACGGCGACGCAGGGCCAGCCGCCTTTCCAGCAGCAGCAGCAGGCGCCCTTCCAGCAACAGCAATTTCAGAGCGGAGGACCTCCCCCGCAGCAGCGTGGCCCTCCTCGCGGCAGGGCTGACTTGCCTCCGGTGGAGAACATCACGGTGAGTTGTATGTAGTGTTCGACGGCATTTTTGGTTGGCTTACCCTGAAGACCGGGTAGTTCTTGTTGCTTGGCTCACGTTCAGGACATTTCGGTTTCCGTTTGGTAGCTTGTGGTTCACGTACTCGTCCACCTGACGCGGACGCCTGCGGTTTACAAGCCAACTGTTTCTTTTTGTATATACATTATACATATATATTTTTGGAAACAAGCTGTGCATTCATTCGCAAAAAGCGTCGGTATTGTAGTGGATCATGGCAAGGAATGCGTATGTGAACCCCCCCCCCCCC